TTATATGTATATATGACAGAGGGTACTAACCAATCACGTTACGAAACCTACTCTTCCTTTTCTGCCTTGGATTTCGATCTATGGCCCTATAGGCAATGATGCATCGACTAGTAATATATATACGGAAAGATGATAAGGGAAATATTTATTACGGTAGAGAACGCCCACCATGCCCGTAGCGCAATCGGTGAAGCATTCGACCCAACGATGAGAAGCCCTGGTTTTGACTCTCAGGTGCTACAAACTCGGGGTTGCGTATGGCCGGCCGATGACGGCTAATAAGCCAGGAATTACCATCCAAGTTTCCCTAGTCTTTTTCCGTTAGCTCGTGTTTATACTACTAATAGTATAGACAGATATTATCGCCGGCAAAAAAGGGAGACTGGAGTGGCAATTTCTAGCTTATAAGCGGTCGTCAGCTGGCCATACCTAGCCCCAGGTGTTCCACCAAGGCAGATTCAAGGCAAGATCCAGTACTAGGAATTAAATTCTGGAAGCAAATCGGTGCTCGGTAGCGAGGGCTATATTGCTGTGGAAAATCTCCCTCCGAATTATTGAGCCAACAGATCGGGAAGGACAACTATTCTTTCGATTTATTTCATCCAAGTGAGAATTTGATGGGAAGCCGGAGTACGTTTTGTTATTTGTTCTCATTGTATCAGTTACTGAACACTGCTATCGATTTCTATCCTCATTGCCAAACACAAACTAAGTAAATAACGACAGGTTTTTTTTCCAAAACGAAACAATTCATTGCACATGCAAACTTAAATTTAGTCTCCGCCTAAAACCGTCCTTGTCACACGATGATTTTCCTCTTGACCACAGGTGGGGGGTGGAGGGGGGGGTAATAAAAAGAAACGTCATTCCACTCGCCACAATGGGTGCTTCTATAAAATTGGGTTCACGTTGTTTCGACCGCTCGTACTAAGACAGGTTTTACGATCGTCCGGGCCTATTGTGCATGTAGAGAGGACACGAAAGAAACCGAAGATTTCAGCATCTCCCATGGGATCCATTACTAATCTCCGCATTCGAATTTGTTGCTTTGTTTTCCCCATTGCCGGATGGTTTTTACTGTCGTACTAAACTGGGGTTCTGTGTCTCATTTTAAGGGCGCCAGAAAAAAATACTGCCTCTTCCCAACTCGACGATCGAATAAATAGTCTATTTATCTTCGTTTTAAGCTATCGATAACGCGTGATAACATAACCAAAATTACGAAATATTCGCTGCCATTATGCGGTTTGAGCGATGGAGAAGCGTCACGTTTTTTTTCATTTCCATTCCTGTGGAATACTTTATAAAGAGTCGGTCTTCT